CAACGACACATATGATTTATCCGTTAATCCAAATCATGCGTTGATATCCAAATCATACATGAGCAGCTTCGATAATTCACTAAATATTAATTAAACAGAGTATGGGAAAAAGTGCGTTTTCTTACGTACAGATTTGCCTTTTTTCTTATATACGTTAAGAACTAATAGGAACAAACACTTTTTTCACACTCTGTTAATTGCAGGAATCTTACGTGATGCGCGGAGTTATCTGTTGACGTTGAGAAACAGCTGGTGTTGCGGTGATCGGATTGATAACTGTAGTTCCAGCTGTGCTTTGAGCAATGCCCGTTGTATAGCTTCGGTCGGTTGACGAAGACGATGTTGGTGGCGGTGGAGGTGCATTGCGTGCCTTGAAATTCGTAGAGAATCAAATCGGAAATTCATATTAATGGATATATATAATCACGATCAATTCCAGTTGCACTTTTTACCTTGAAAACAGCTTGTTGAAGTGGGATTCCAAGGAAGCCGTAATCTCGTCTTGAACATACAAAAGATCATATAGGTTATTTTATTTACGCTAAAAAATCTTTGTGCAAATCTTACTTGTACTCGTCCAAAACGTCTGGTGGGTTTCTGATTGTCTTTAAAACTGGTGCACACAATTTTTGTAGCATAGCTCTAATGTGGCCGGCCGTTAATTTGTCATTATTACTAGCGCCCGTTCCAATTAGATGGGGCTCAATTCGATCAGAAATAAATTTCAAGCGAGGCACAATAATCACTTTGATTACTTCACTTCCGAGCTCAGACAAACCGGCAATAGCTCCGTATAGCGATGGTAACTGCGTCTTATCATTTTGCAAGGCATTGCTGAACAGTCGGGTGATACGTGTTTGCAAATTATTCGTTGACGCTGTAGGCAAATATCAATTTAATTAGCATTTTACATGGGCATATTCTTTATAAACTTACTATTAAAATTCTTTGATATGGTGGCCATTAGTCGTGAAGCGAAATCTCTTAGTGCCCAATGATTGTCTACTTCGGGTCTCAAACATAAAGTCCGAGAAACGATGCAAGACGCAACCGATGGAATCAATTCGTGTAAATATTTCTCCAAATAAAGTGATGGATTATCCAAAAGGGCCTTAACCATTCGCATGAGATATATTAAAAGGGCCAAGTTATTTTGCACCACATTTACTTTCACACCTTCGGCAATGAAGGTGCACATTCTCGGGAGACATTCATATAGACCTGAAATTCGAAAAAAAACGAAACAAAGCACTTAGTATCTATTCTGTTGCCATTTTAATGATATGTATTTACCTGGATCACATGATAATGATTGTAAAGCCTCTATTCGGCGAGGTTCATCTGAGCCAACGCATGCTTCTGTGATTTCCTTGTAGTACAATTGTTGTTCCACCGACAATTCGTGCGTTGCCAATTGTTTAACGTGGACAGTTTCAGCATTTTTGAACTTTTGTAGTTTGCCGGTGGTCGGTTTGCCAGCCACATCCTTCTTGACATTCGAATCAAGTTTCTTTACGGGATTTACAGAATCCTGTGCTTGATTATCTATATATAAAGAAATAAAAGGTATATTCAATTAGTAAATAAGTGGTGAATATTCGGAAGCTTTTTTTTTGAACGAATTGAAAGATGAAATACCTCTCGATAAAGGTGGAGGATTCTCAGGTATTGTTGGCTGAATACCATCCACACAAAGCCAATGCGCTCTCAGCGATACTTCCAGAGGCACTTTTGGGGGTTGTGCTTGAATCACGTCATTCAAATCCAATTCCTTCTCTTCAATGAAGTGCAGCTCACGACCTCCACCCGAAGCAAATCGAAAAGGAATGAAATCGTGTGAAACAAAACCATATTGTGGTTCAATGTTACGAGTTTTAAGCGAATGATCAATATCCGATATTAAGAGTTTTTGTCGCTTCGCATGATGCATAAATTTTGCACTATCTTGAACGATTTGTTTTAGTTTGTACGATACATCATCGGCGAGTTCCTTTGCTGCATCGTCGGGCAGTGCATTCAATCCAATACTTTCCGCAATAACTTTGATTGATTCAACACTTAACGTTGTTCCATATAATCCACTCATCTCTTTGAAAATTTATTTTATCCAATAATTTAATGGAAAAAATGACAAAAAAAAATCAAATAATAAATGTTGATATGGTACGGACTATTTGACAAGAGTGTTTATTTTGTGTCATTCGAAAAGCCGTGTCACAATGGGTGCGTTCAATAACGTCACGATAGTTGTGTATTCATTGTATGACAAATTTAGCCAAAACAGCGGCTTTTTTCCTACTTTAAAGTTATTTTTCATTGATATGTAGAAATTGAACTTTCTTTTGAAAACCTTATTTTATTTTACTATTTATATTGTACTGTTATCTTTTTTAATTGCCAGCTTTCTATGATAAATTTTATCATTACTATGTAATTTAGTAAATATTTAAATTCATTGTACAGTTGCTTACGCATCAGCGGTCTATTGCTTCTTTACTCACTCCCGTAAGCGCAGTCACTTTATCCAATGTGGCTCTAAACTATTTTTTGTCAATTTGAGTAATGAAAATGAAAGAAAAATGAATAAATTCTTCATATTATATCATATTATATATCATACTATCTGTCAAATAGTGGACAGAGGATATTGCTGAAATATCTCACGCGAATGATTGATGATGGATTCGTTCAATGATGACAAGTTATGATGACAATGAAATTTATTTCTTGTAGAAAATTGAGCCACATCCGCATAGGTTTTCTTCTTGTTTGAAATATAACGTTTCATTGAACATGGGTATCGTATATGTAATTTCGAATAAGAAGCTCCTATAAATCAAACCAAAATAAAATCACTATCAAATTATTGAACTGTATTGAAAATAACGGCTTTCAGCACTCACACGTATACATACATATATTCGTATGTGCGTATGTGCGTATGTATGTCGTACGTACATAAAACTAAATTGCGCGCAGTCGCAATTCGAATCATTCTCCATGAACTTTCGGTCGTGTGTGAGTGGAAAAACGGAAAGAGATGGATAGTGAATAATTAAAACATCGCTAGTATCCCGACACATGTGAACGGTGAGTTCAGTTGCAGAGCACACCACAAACCACGATTTACCAGTCGTCTTATTTCATTCAAGTCTGTACAGCTAAGCTGTCAAAGTTTTCCGAATTTTTTTCTCTCTTTCCATCATTTTTAAATAAGGAAAAGGTTGTTCTCTGCCTAAAAAGATTTGCTGATTAAATTCAGTTAGCAACACAATATAAATTTCATCAAACAATTTCAAGTATGTATCCATACAAATTTTATTCATTATCTGAAGGAAAAAAATGCATAATTCAATGATGATAGTGTATATAAATTCAAAATAGATTTGAAATCGCCTGGTGTTTATTTTGCTCAACAGATAAAACATCAATACTTTAGTGAAATTATGTTATTGTGTATACATTCAAAAATATAATATGTATTCAATAGGGTGAGACCCCAACGCGGAAATTGTTGTTGCTTTATTCATGCCGTGCTTTGGAACACACATTTTCCACGTGTCTAGTGTATAGCACTCTGAATTCCACAAAGCGTATAGTACATCTGTCCCATCGCGAAATGTGAAATTCGGCTATGAACAGTGAGGCAGTGAAATATCGATCAATAATGACGCTTACATCATGTTGTGATGCATGTTTGAGAAAAAGCAAACTTTATAACAAAATATTTCTGTTATAAAACAACACTTAATGGATTTTGCACATAAATCCAATTGCGCATTCATTTTAATCCAACACAAATGCGACACTCATTTTTCTAACAATAATACACAATTTGATTGAATTTTGCCTAGTCTCACTGTATCAAAATATATACAAATGAATTTTTTCCATTCTTAAAAATAACCATTTTATCATGGGTCATTCTAATTTGGAAAGAAAAAATGTGAATTGTTTGTATACACAAAAATGCCAAATGATTACGATGTTATTTGAATTTTTTTCTTGGAGCCGATTTATAGATCGCATCATCTTCATTCAGAACCAGAGGTTGGTTGCACATAAATTTATTTATATAAATTTCAAATATCAAATAAATTTATCCGATATTTTTCATGCGTTGTGTTGTTCTATGGACTATATATGCTATTTAGTGACACAGTGGCAGAATTGTTCACAAATATTGGTAAATGAACAAAACAAAAATCTCATTCCTGCGATGAATAGCTGGCTGTCAATACAACAGCCGATGTCTCGTTTATGTACTGCAAATCCGTCAGAACAACACAACGCATGAAAAATATCGGATAAATTTATTTGATATTTGAAATTTATATAAATAAATTTATCTGCAACCAACCTTTGTTCAGAACTGTCTTACGTATTGAAATACGTCATTTTACGTTATTTACACTATTATATCCTAAATCGAATGTCTGCTCGTGTTCTCTTCAATTTTTGAATTAATGAATCCTTTGAAATAAACATTTCCATTTGGATTTCAACTTCAATATATTGATTTTTGTTTATTTGTATTAAAATGTACAATTGTACATAACTATCCGGTTATACCAAGAAAAAGTTATGGAAATTTCCAAACTGACTCAAGAACCGGAAAAAAGAGAACAATAAATTAGTAAAAGGAGATAATAAGGCAACCAAAATATTTGTTTTGTGTTTTGTTAAACATCGCATTTTTTGTATTTTTAGTCAAGGTCAGACATTTTGTTGCCAAACATTTATCCTTTTGGACATGCAAATAAAATTTGATTCCGTCACGATTTGTTTTAGAAACACATTTAAAGTTAGATATATTTTTTTTGTTAAGCTTGTTTTGTTTTGGCCTTTGTATGAGTATTTGTAGATGTAATTTATTAACTTTTTCATTGTGAAACTATAATTGTAGAAAGAAATCTATCCATTTGTGATAACATTACCAAAATGTAAGTAAGGCCTAGTGTAACAATCCTAGTGTAAGGCCCAGTGTAACAATGCCAAAACATCACAAGGTCAATATGAAAAATTTCATATCTTTCATCAGCACAAAAAATGTATATGAAGGAGAATATTGCAGAATGTTTTTTTATCAGAAAAAAATATCGCATTACAGAATGCTCATAAATGAACATTTGCCGTTTAATACCTTTTGTTTACATTTACTTCCAAATAAATCGGCATTAGATATCAGTCCATTAGCACCCACATGCCAGAAATATCATCTTTATAAAGAACAGATTTCAGGATTGGACTGTCAAATTTTTTTTTGGTGTGTTGTTTACAACATTCAAGCGACAGTCAAACAGTGACAGTAAAAAATGAAACCAGATTTTTGTAAAAGATTGGTGTAACATGTAATTGAGAGATTGTGAAGGACGAAAATGAATTTCCAAGAATTGGCCGCTTTTATCAGTACAAATAATTCTATGGATCTGTAGCTTCTCAAATTGAATATCATAACCAAGGCGTGTTATGAGCTGATGTCAGCAGCACTAACTAACGTCAGCTGCTGAGGAGTATGCGTTGCGTGGTTCTAACACATTTGCAGTATAAAAACGAAAGGGTGAGTAAACTTACCATTGGTGAGATTGAACATACCAATGGAAAGTTTACTCACCATTTTGTTCTTATACTGCAAATGCGTTAAAACAACGCAACACATACTCGTCAGCAGCTGATATCAGCAGCTGACGTGAGTTAGTGCTGCTGACATCAGCTCACAACACGCTCTGATCATAACAGACCAGTATCAAAGCAGGCTTTGTTATGCGCTAAATCCATCACGCTGAATAAATTCATGCGATAGATTTATGCGATAAATGTGATGCGTTCGCTTTGCGGTGAACGAGGTATGTTGCTCTTCACTACCGCTTAGCGATGCGTTCACTGCAAAGCATGAACGTTCATGCGTGAACAACTGAAGAGCAACAGACTTCGTTCACCGCAAAGCGAGCGCATCACATTTATCGCATAAATCTATTGCATGAATTTATTCAGCGTGATGGATTTAGCGCATAACAAAGCCTGTATCAAAGTAAATTGATACCTGTATCTTTCACAAAATTTCAGTATGCGAAATTCATCCGTTGATTAATTGAATTCATGCACTTAATTGAGAAACAGCTGAAAAGTCACAAGCATATGAGAATCAATTAAGAACAGCGGTATTCTTTTTGGCTTTAGGACAAATGAATGGGCAAGCGGAATAATGAAACGTAATTCTGTTTTTAAATGAAGTGCCTCTGAGAAAAATTTTCAGTAAAAAAGCCCCACAAAAATATTGTCTGAATAAGATTTTCATACAAATTTTTATCAGACAATATTTTTGTGGGGCTTTTTTACTGAAAAATTTTCTCAGAGGCACTTCATTTGAAAACAGAATTACGTTTCATTATTCCGCTTGCCCATTCAAATGCGGCAAATTGTTTTCGCACTTCGATTTTTGAATGTTAATTGACGGCCCCAAGCGGTTGCTTTGAAAGCTAACTCTGCTTGTTTGTATTGTTAATATGGTTTTTTTTCGATGCCTGAATATCCTTTTCAATTCCTTTGATTGATCGGAATCACGTAATCGATAATAAATTGCTGCATGACATTTGCATGAAACTTTTAAAAAAATTTCTCTTCAACTGAATCATATCCAAGATATCCAAGATATCTCAATAATTACAGCGTCTGTTTATCAGAAGCTTATCAGAGTATGCTGTTTTTCGTCTTCCTTCGGCTCCATTCAAAGTGTGAATGAAATGTTGTGTTATATCTTAATTCAATCCAATAACATTGCATGCCATTTAAAATTTATAGATTGTAGTTTCGATTGCATGAAAAATAAATAAATGGTGATTAAGCGCTGTTAAACCATGGAACCCAATGTCTGACTAAACCAAATAACTATTTATAACTTGAACCGGATTTTTACAGAAATGTTTCACTACGTAAATTTCTTCTTTTGTTTTAGATATGAAAATAAGCAATCTGTTATCTGGGTTCTCCGCACCTCAGGTCAGATATATATCTGATTTTTTTTTACAAAAGTTATTCTCAACAGAAAATTCCTCCTTTTCAGAAGATAACCTGTGACGGATAATACATTAATCACCCAATAAGATCACATAATCAAAGAAAGGAGAATACGTAAAGTGAGAACGCTGACGATTTGCATCATAAACATCTTTGCCGATCCGTCAGAAGAGAAGCAATCCCATTTTGGAGTTATATTGCTACTTACTTCTTCTATCTTTTCGAAAATCAAAAGCATTGATCGAGTCAGCGGGTGAAATTTTCTTTGATTGATTTTGAACATAGTACAAACTATAAATATTTTTTCATTCCGAAAAATTTACGTTTCTAATGGAGTCTACCAACATGCATCAGAAAAATGCTAATAAATATGCATTGAATCTCATCAATATTTAATCCTTGCTTATTTGTTTATTCATTTCATTAATTTCGCCATAACGTATTCATTTCATAATTGCTTCTACTTCTTTTAAAAAATTGATTCATATAGAACTTTATCATCATTATTTGTCTCATTAAATTTTTTTTCTCATCAATCGTCACTTGTTGATCAAGTGGAAAAGTTTTCATTTTCAATTCAAACTAATACAATTAATACAAAATGTTAGAAGAATATTCGGCAAATGTTTTGTGGATAGTTATTTTGGGTTTCATAATTGCATTCATTTTGGCATTCGGCATTGGTGCAAATGATGTTGCAAATTCGTTTGGCACAAGCGTTGGCTCCGGCGTTCTTTCGATTAAATCTGCGTGTTTGTTAGCTACAGTATGCGAAATATCTGGAGCCATTTTAATTGGTAAGCTCAAACAATGAAAAAATATTCTATAGTTCAACTTAAAATGTTGATAATCAATTATAGGTTACAAAGTATCAGATACCATGCGGAAAGGCATTCTTGAAATAAACTTATACACTAATTCTGAGACCGAATTGATGTTGGGATTCGTTTCTGCTTTGGCGAGCAGTGCTCTTTGGTTGTTAATGGCTACATACTTCGCAGTAAGTAGACAGAGAATAAAAGGCCTTTTCATCGTCGTTCCCGGCCGGACGGCATCGACTGTGAATTGCCACAAAGTTGTTCATTACTATACAAATCCAATTACTATACAAAAACCAGTTTTTGTTATAATTTCATAAAATTCTTCACATTTCACATTGAAGTTACCCATCTCCGGTACGCATAGCATTGTTGGGTCAACATTGGGATTTTCCCTGGTCGCACGCAATACAGCGGGTATACAATGGTTCACATTGGGTAAGGTTGACATGTATAGTCCCATTGGAGAAGTATCTTGATGTTTTTTATGCCAATAATATTTGGTAGTAAATATTGTCGTACCATACATATGTGTTGAATAAAAATGGGAATACAGAAGTGTTTGAACTGAATCGAAACATGAGATGTATTTCTTGGAAACATAGCATGAATCGTCGCTTCAATAAATTTTTAACATGAAAAATGTGAATTTGGAATGTGGTTTTTCGTGTTTTTCGTGAAAATGATGAGAGATAAAAAATCGTTGTCGATTCACAATTTTAGAGTCAATAAGTAGCTCCCTCGTTGAGAATTTGAGTAATTATGATAATAACTTTGCGGCAACAGTTCATGTGCTGAAAACTGAACAAAAATCACTTTCTGATAAAGAAATGTTATCTTCAACAAAGTTATAGAATTGGTCAATTCCCAAAACATCGCTGAACACACTAATTATCTCTTTTCATTTTCGCGAAAAAGACAAAAAATCATATTCCAAATTCACATTTTTCATGTTACGATTCTATTAAAGCGACGATTCATGTTACGTTTTCAAGAAACCAATTTCATGTTGCGCTTCAGTTCAAACACTTCTGTATTCCCATTTTTATGATCAGTAACACATATTGTATTAGCAGTATAACGCTTGACGAAGATCTACGGGGACTGTTTTGTAAGCAAAGAACAAAACCTCCATAATAAGCGTTAGCATTGGCAACGTTATTACAATGGATGAAAAATATTCACTAATGCATTCAAGTTTGCTCTAATATTGCCTAATGTCTCTTCCTTGTAAAGCATATTAGTCCATTTCAATCTCCCACAGGAAAAATTGTCGGTTCTTGGTTTATTTCACCCGTTTTGAGTGGAATAATGAGTGTTTGTCTCTATTGGTGTATCAGGACGATGATTTTGAGATCAAAAAACCCACTGAAAGCGGGTCTTTTTTCATTACCTCTCATCTATGGCCTCACAACTTTTATCAACGTCATAAGCATTGTTCTGGATGGACCAAAATGTAATTATTTAGGAAGCATACCCATACTCAGTATGACTCGATACTATAAAGATATCAATATTATGTATTGCAGTGCTTTACATGGACAACATTACAGCGCCATACGCGATTGCGATTAGCTCTGCTATCGCTTTAGTTGTTGCAATAATGGTCCAGTTATTCTTTGTCCCATGGCAGCGGCGTGAAATTACTGGAAATAATACTGATGGTGGTCGAGTAAAATTCACAATCAATGATTCGAGTGAGTCAACACCAAGTGGTAGTCCAAAACGGAACCGACGTCCAACATCTCTGGTTCAATCAGATTCAAATACACTACCTGCAATCACCGAACAAACAGAATTGGCTTCTTTCAACAATCTAAATGGTTTTAGTCCATGTTTCTATTCTAATGATAAGTCACAACAAAACAGCGATAAAAGTCCTTCACTAGTCAACGGAAGCTACAAGATTGATCCCAAAATTATTGAGAAGGCAGAAAATCTTTTAGGAAAGCATCGCAGTTTAGATAACACCGACTTAACTATTACCAGTTTGAACTTCATTGATAACGAACACCAACAGAATGGTTATTTGCGTGCAGGCATTCAATCTGAGCCACTTCAAAATTATTTTGACCATCAACTAAATCATCAATTTTCACCGGGCTCGAAGCAAGGGTAAGACTAGGAGAAGACACATGACACAAGAAAGATTAATTTGAGCATTTTTTTGTAAATTACATATAGCGATGATATCGGTTCAAATGTAACAACGAAGACCTGCAGTGAAATTGTTATACCCATATCCACAGCTGTTTTTTCGGGAAAAATTCTATCTGGTGATAGAATCGTCAGCAACAACAACAACGAAGTACAAAATAAGGGAGATGAAAGGAATGGAATAGGTAATGTTGTAAATATTGAACATCTTGAAGCAACTACTCTTTCGCCAAACTCAAGCAAGGTACCGCTAATATCCTCGAAGCCTGAAGAAATGACAAAAGTAGATGAGCCCGAAGATGTATCGAAACTTTTTTCGTTCCTTCAAATTCTGACCGCCACATTTGGTAGTTTTGCGCATGGAGGAAACGATGTGTGCAATGCCATTGGTCCATTGATAGCTCTATGGATGATTTACAAGGAAGGCACCGTTATGCAACAATCGGAAACACCATTCATCATTCTTCTATTTGGTGGAATTGGTATTTCAATTGGTCTTTGGGTCTGGGGACGACGTGTTATTGAAACTGTTGGCAATGACCTAACAAAAATCACACCCTCAACGTAGGTTTTTATATGAAATTTGTTTTTTATATATAAAAATAAAATACAAATAATCATGTCGTTGCCAATATTGCAGAGGCTTCACAATTGAAATCGGTTCTGCTCTCACCGTCCTTTTTGCTAGTAAAATTGGCTTACCAATATCGACAACTCATTGCAAAGTGGGTTCAGTTATATTTGTTGGCTATGCTAGTTCACCGCCTTACACAAATGAAGACAAAGCGGCTGGTCTTCTTCCGCCAAAACCAATCGACTGGGGACTATTTCGTAATATCATTTATGCTTGGGTTGTTACAGTGCCAATCGCCGCAGCATTGAGTGCCATTTTTATGTTTTCGTTGAGAAAATTGGTACTTTAAGAAGTGACGCTGATCTTTTTCATAATAAAAAGTATGTAATTTCTATAATAACGCTGAATATTTGTATAACCTTAGATATTCTATATTTAAATTTGAAAGGAAAAAGAAAACAAACCATTTCAGATTGAGTTTTATGCTCATAGCAGATATTTTCACATACAAATTTATTACGAAAAATTACAAATTCCAATAAGTAATACAGTACCGTTATGGCTATAAGTGGGCCAATTTTATATTGTCAGCAGTATTCATTTGATAATGATTGCCACTTCTGTCTTAAATTTCTTCATTTCCTTCACTAATTTTCATTTTAAGTCTGTGTTTCGTTCGGTTATATCAGATAAATAATTGTTTCAAACCAATATTTAGTATTTCAATTTTGTTTACCATCATTATCATTTTCAAGACTCTATGGAGACTTTTAGATAAGTGGATAGTTTTATTATTATGTTCTTCATTGAATTCTATTATTCATTGTGATTATTGAAAATATTTGAGTCGAAGGAATGTTACGTCATTCGGTTTTCACTGATTTGACAAATTTCGTGGAGAAATTATTAAAGCTGCTGCTGAAAAGTTTCAGCTTACCTTTTTTGACCCCATTAAAAATAAATAAATTTGTGTTAAATATGATACTATTGTCAATTCACTGTAAAAAATCGGAAATACAAATGCCAGAAGTATTACATAAAAAAAGTATTTTGAAACTATTTTGTTTTGGTTTTAGTCCTAAATTGTATTATCTAAGGCCTGAAAAATCCTTATACTAAAACTTTTAGTATGAGTTCTTTATTCTCCGACTCAGAGACATGAATTGCAAAAAAATGTTTTGTTAGTTGATCGAAAATTGGACGGGTACTTTAGAGGCTCCCAATGTAAGTAATTGAACCTTGGGTTTGGAACAAATGATTTACTCATGTAAGTACACATGTCTTGCTGAACCATAATAATGAATAACCATTCATAATTAAAAACAAACAAATATTTATTAGCCCGGAATATTACAAAATCATCGTATTAAAACACACAGTTATAACACCAATACAATGTCTAAGTTCATTCGATGTATGCGCATTTGTTTGCATTTGATCCACGAAAAACAATAAAAAGAATAAAATGTTTTACCATGTGAAACAAACTTTTCCGCACATTTTCGGTAGAATGTAAAATATAGATCACTTGGATAGAATGTTGCAATTGTTCTTATTTTAAAGTATGTTTGGATTTTTATGGAGATCAGTATTGCTTTGAATTTTTTTTTCAATCATATGGTTGTATGTTTCATTGGATTTGGGATATTTGAGAAAGTCAGTCGTGTTTGTTAAAATGGGCGAAAAATTATCATGCTCGGCCATCGAATGATGAAAAATAGTGTTAACTTGAACATGATAGATAGATATAGTGTCCATGTCCACTTCCAATTCCATTGTAAAACTCTATGACAGACATGCCATGCCAACTATTCATATAAAAGATGCAGTTAAGTGATGTTACCATAACAATGAGGGACCCGGATGGTATTTATGTTCATCTTCGTTCCAAGACCTTTCATATGATACCCATATTGACTATACTTATGTAGAAATGGTATGAAGTCCATCATGGTCACCATGATGGACGGATATAGTGTCCATGTCCACGCCCATTTTAAAACCTTTCATATGACACCCATGTCAACTATTCATATAAAAAAATGCTGTTAAGTGGTGTTAACATAACCATGATGGACCGGGATGGTGTTCATGTTCATCTCCGTTCAAAGACCTTTCATATGATACCCATATTGACTATACTATGTAAAAACAGTAAATTTTTTTTTTTTTTAATCGAAAAATCCAAGGGGGGACCCTTGGGTGAAATTCCATGATATACCAAAAGTACCAGATAGACTGGTCCAATTCGGTCCAACTTCTGATACATTCAAGATATTTATATAAGACACCACGTTGCAAAATTTAAACAAAATCGCTCAAGAGATTCGAAAGTTATCGTGTATACAAGGAATTTTCGTGGGTTTTTCGAAACAGTAAAAAGGACATCAAAATCGTCCATCGTGGTGAGAACACCATTTAACACGGCTAAAATATAAAAAACAGCCAGCAATAGCCAGAAAATGCATTTTGAAGCGAAAAAAGTAATTAAAAACCGACCATCATGGTCGGCCACCGTGGTAAAACATCGTTTAACACGGTTTACCACGAAAAAATCGCGAGCAAGACTAAGAAATAACCAAAAAATGCATTTTTGTGTGGTGAAAAAAGAAATTTTTTCCCGAAAAAATCCAAGGGGGGACCCTTGGATGAAAATCTATGATGTAGCAGAAGTACCAGATGGACTGGCTCAATTTGGTCCAACTTCTGATACATCCAAGATATTTACGTAAGCTACCTCCTGGCCAAATTTAAGCAAAATCGCTCTACTCTTTTGTAAGTTATCGTGTATACAACGAAAATTTAAAATTTTCACGACGATCGCTATACTTTCCTTCACACTTCGTGTGCGGAAAAGTAATAAGTGAATACATATTGCTTTGTTTGTATATTTTATTGTGAATTGAAACTAAAAACCAGCAAAACTAAAACAACTCAATTCTATACATTTAAAAACAAAAATGTTGAAAAATCTTCTCTACGCGAATTTCAGTAAAGCGTTTGACAGAGTAAACCACAAGAGATTGATTCTGAAACTCCGATCGTTCAACCTGCAACTTGCAGGCTGCAAGATTGACAATCTACTTGATTGGATCGAATCATACCTGTCAAACAGAACACAATTCGTTAAGTATGGAAACAGCGAATCGAACGAATTCAACGTATTATCAGGTGTACCACAGGAAAGTCATCTCGGACCCACACTATTCCTTTTATTCATCAAAGACATAGTGGACGAAATGGACGACGTGTTCATTTCCTTGTTTGCCGACGATGTGAAAATTGCCAAAATCATCCACTCGAGCACGGATGTTGCAGTGCTACAACGGGCCATCGATAAGCTAAAGGAATGGTGCGATGTTAACAATTTGCACCTAAATCTCGACAAATGTGCCGTCCTTACGATCACCACGAAGGAGAAGGACATTATCGATACAAAGGACAAATACGGTGATTTCATATTCAAGCGAGTATCGGATCACAAAGATCTCGGCGTCATCATTGACCAGAAACTTAGTTTTGTCAAGCGTTTTAGATTTTCAAAGGAATTTAGTTCATCAATTGTGTCGCTGAGCATAAAAATGGGAATACAGATCTGTTATATCAAGAATCGATGAAAAATTATTTCGTAAAAACGCAACATGAATCTCCAGTCGGCATTAATGTAACATGAGCTGCGGTTACTACTGTATTCTTATGACGCGCTTCAGTGTGGCGCAAATTCATGTTGCGTTTTAACGAAATAATTTTTCATGTTACGTTCTTTCGCATATTGCTTCTTTGTTATATTTTTTCGATTGTTCTGTTCATGTTGCATTTTTCAGTTTGATTTCATTCATTCATTTACCAAAGTGATTTCGATGTGCCGAAAACACCAATGGATTTTGCACACAAAATACTATATCTATTGACTAGATCGAGAGGAGAGTATGTGAAAAAATTCTAATATATTTTGAAAGAGGAGAGTATGATTTCTGTTGATTCTATCTGCGTTAAAAGGAAGTATGTTGGCATCCCGTCTAGCCTCCGCGGTTTTTCAAGGTTTCCGCGAAACTGATAAAAGATAACAACATGGTGTCTTCGGCAAAGTTGTAGTACTTGAGGTTTTCTTTAACAATGCTGAAGACATCTATCTCTTATCTCTTATCAGTTGCGCGCAAATCGCGCACATAAAAAAGCAAATTTTAAATAGAACTTTTTTTTTCTTATCATTTTTCGCGCTTTTCGCGGAGCTGATAAGAGATAAGAGATAACTGACTTCAGCCATGTTACAGAAGACCTCGAGTGCTACAACTTTGCCGAAGACACCAAGTTGTTATCTCTTATCAGTTCCGCGGAAACCGTGGAAAACCGCGAGGACCCGCCAAAAATGAACATACTCGCCTTTAACCATTTTTGAGTCGAAAGAAACTTACTCTTCTCTTTCACAACAAAGTCAGATGAACTTACTCTCCTCTCGATCTAGTCAATAGATATTAGAATACAAAAAAAATTATTTAACGTTTTTCGCGATTTTCGGCTGTGTTGCGACCGTCTTCATGGGAAGTTTTTATGAAAACGTCGGAGTGTCAGCTCCGTGACGCTAGCCCCAGGTTCCAAAATTTAAATCCGAGCACGGTTTCGTGTTCTACGTAATTTCTGCTGATTACTGCTCGCTCCGCAGAATTTCTGCTGCAACCGGTGACGAGCAGTAATTGCCCAAAGTTTCGAAAAAATCCATGAAAATCGATTTTTCGCATATTTGAAGGTTTTGCCCCAAAAATTAATTCCAAACTAAATTTTCAACATTTTAATAATCTGAGGGCTGATAATAAAAGATCTGGAGGCCCTTTAATTTCTGCCCGCTCCCCACAATTCCTGCTTTAACCGGTGACGAGCAGTAATTGCCCAAAGTTTTGAAAAATCCATGAAAATCGATTTTTTGCATATTCGAAGGTTTCACGCCAACAGTCAATTCCAAATGAAGTTTTCAATATTTTGATGACCTGGTGGCTGATATTGAAAGGTCTAGATACCCAATAATTTCTCCTTGCTTCTCAGATTTCCTGCTTCAACCAGTGACGAGCAGGAATTCGACAAAAATTGAAAAAAAAAAGTATGAAAATCGATATCACAGTGCAACAAAGTTTAGGTAGGTCCATGTCACCAGCACCGCCAGTGCTGTTAAACCATAATATGTTATAATTAGTGCTCGAATAGTGCTGGCAGATACCACTTCCAGATTGCAAAAATCTTGTCTAGTGGCTGAACACGTATCGTCAATATTTTTGAATACTTTTCGGTACATTCCCATGGCAAGTACATGAAATCGAATTTTTTCATATCAATGTAGCTCTATGACTCCTGTTCGGAAAAGTGAATCACTGTTTTACAATTGAGTCATGAGGTGAGTCACAATATAACTCATAATTGAATGAGTCATAATCGGAAAGTCATGACTTCATTTGGAATTGACTGTTGGCGTTTTTTTCCTTATCATTTTTTCACGGAACTGATAAGAGATAACGAAATAATGAATGGGAATAATTGTAGTACTCGACCAGAACTACAACTTTGCCTTTGACACCATCTCGTTATCTCTAAAAATGATAAGGAAAAAAACGCGTTTTTTCGCGGTTTTCTGCGGTTTCTCGCGTATTCCGCAAAACTGATAAAAGAAAACGACTTGGTATCTTCGGCAAAGTTGTGGAGCACCTTGAGTAGTACAACTTTACCATAGACATCAAGTCGTTATCTCTTATCAGTTACGCGAAAAAGGCGAGTTTTTGCTTATCATTTTTCGCGAAACTGATAAGAGATAACGAAAAACAAAGTTGTAGAACTCGAGCTGCTCTACATTTCTGTCGGAAAGGCAAGTCTCTTACTTCCTATCGGCTTCACTAAAACGAGATAGGAAAATTTCGCGATTTTCGCGTTTTTTCGCGTTTTTCGCGGAACTGATAAGAGATAAGCAACATTTGTTGCAACAAAATTATAGCAAACCTCGAGTAATACAACTTTGCTTCAGACACCAATTTGTTATCTCTTATAACAGTCCAGATTTCATATGAAATACATATGGGGCCCTGGAGGCCCCCAAGAACAGTAGTTGGAAAAGTCCTTTTTTTATTTTCGAATAAAATGTCCTCGTTTTCCTCGAAACTTTCCCTAACTTCAGAAAAATCCAAAATAAATCCGGAAAAATGTTGAAAAAAAAAACGTTCTGTTCAGTTTCTTTCTCTTAAAAAACGTTCATAAATGCTAAATAAACGAAAAACAATACGATTTAATGATTTTTTTTTCGAAAAACCAATTTGGGGTCACTGGTGACCCCACTTGGCGTTTATTGTCCTAAATCTCTTGGCCGTCCGAAAGTTAATTATATAAAATTCATTGAAATGGTTTTTGAAGTTTCTGATTTTTTTTACCTAACCTTACCTTATTAACCGGGGTTGAATTTTTTTTTGATCATCACTTATGGTCCATCAGTTCAAAATGGAATCGTGGCTTTTTGAACGAAGAAACGGATTCAAATAGGAATCTACTCGATGCGCACTACCATCGGATGCAGTCGTTTCCATTCAGATTTTCGTTCATACAATAGCTAAAGTTGTTCTTTTACGGTAGAACAACTTAACCTTCTTCTGTGTTGAAGAAAATGGAATGGTGGTATTCGGTAATCAAGCAATTAAACAATGTAAACATGATAACGAATAGGAATCAATTGCTTATGTAAAGACTATGCACGCCAAATCCAACGTGACTTCATGCTATGTAAACTCCACACGTTTCAAATTAATACAACACTATAAACGGTATAAGCGGCAACAGATATCATATTGCATTGCGACTTCGTTTTTCTATTTAAACTACAAAGTTTCCACTTAGATATTATGTACCGATTTATAGGATAGTAACGGATAACCCGACGGGAAGTATGAAAATAGATCAGCTCTTTTTGCTGATTTTGAAAAAGTAAAAAAAAACAGCTACAAAAAGGAATAAAAAAGCAATACAATGAATATCAATTTAATTTCCAGCAGAAACAATCGATTTTGGGTAACGCAATCATATATTATATACGTAAATTTACTCGTTGTATATATATATTATGACATACGTACATTCACTCAAAAGTCACGTGTAGCAAGCTGTGCTCAAATTGTTGCCTGTAAACGATGGAATAATAGATTTTCCTCCCGCTTCGTTATATTCACCATTCGGAACATGATTTGCGTCGCGTATAAGCAGTGGCATCATTGCACTGAACGTGTTCAACGTGCTTTTCAATTGTGTCCGTTTCTTCAACAATTGGCTCTGTTTTGTTGGTTCCCATGTCAAGCCAATTTCAGTCTTGTAATGACGGCGTAACGCGATGGTTGAAAGTAACGCGTCCAATATCTCTCCATGTATTTTGTTCAGCGTAGTGCGATTGTTCTCGAACTGGGTCCAAGACGCTAATATTTTTCAAAACCATAGGGAATGTGAAATAAGTAATATATTTTTTGCTACTAGCAGCTGCTTTACCCAGTGAAAAACTTCCAAAGTCTGCAAAAAAACTAAGTTTCTGATTATAAAACCGTATTATTTAAGATGTAAAAAAAATATTATATAATTGTGCTATTTAAGCAAATTCATTAATGTCCCCTTTTATGGAATTCTAAAAAACGCTCCGCAAACGAACGTACGTAAGACAAGTGAACATGTGAATTCATGAACATCTTTATGAATGACATTGTGATCAAAAGTTGTACATGAAAAGTAAAAAAAATGAAAGTGCAAAGTAATTAATTTTAACCTACCCTGCGACCTGATATCTCTAGCGGTCAAAACGCTGTACGATTGAAATTTAATACATTGGATTTTTCAAGTAATGAATTTTCAACCGAATGTTATGCAATTATAAATTTACACTTACATCCAAATCGATGAATTGTTGAAGAATGAAGACGTGATTATAAAACGCAGGAAATATATTTGCATTGAAAATTATCTTCGGTTTATAACTAATAAATCGTGTATTGTAAGTGCCATGAATTTATTTGTGAAATGTCATTTGAATTGAAAAATGTGCCATACACAAATTTTTCTTTTCAATCTGAAGTTTGCAAATTTACATAAAATAAATTATTTGAAATGTAATACAGGGTTTCTCCAAAGTGTATGCTTTGAAATAATTTTATACACAGCCTTCTAGGCTTATTACAAAGTGATATTGTGATCCTAGAAATGTTTCTAATGTGCTTGTGAAAATTGCAAGTGTTAAAATACAATTTCGAAGTTGAAGCTATTACGTTGCTCGTGCAACTTAAGTGAATTGATAGCAGAATGATTGCCGTTGGTGTCAACACAAAGACCGATCAGTTGAAAGTCGGACCATCGAATTTTCATAATGATAATATAACTATAACTCCGTCGAAAACTTTGCACAAAGAGAGGCACATGATTCATTGGTTTCGTCGAGGTTTACGGCTGCATGATAATCCTGCATTGTATGAAGGTCTTCGAAGCGCGGTCACATTTCGTTGTATTTTTATTATCGACCCGTGGTTTGCTGATAGCTCAAACGTGGGAATCAATAAGTGGAGGTAACAGTGGAAATCATGAAATCTTAAAGTTAGTTTCTAAATAGACGTGCACCATTTTTGCGGTTTATTAAATTAATATTGAAGATTTTACTGTTTCGCTTCAACTAAAATCACATGGGCAGTGAATATAAAGATTAGGTTTATACAGTCAAATGAATTACTCTCCGCATAGAGTATCACATTTTTGTTCTCGTGACTAACATGTGCATGTGTTTTGTGTATTGTCATTCATATCGATTGTACAATGTACATACCGTTACCTGACGTCAATTTTTTCTACACATTTTATTCCAACATTGGTGTTCTATTCAGTATCGTTGTAATTAAATTATACTGTCCAAATACGTGCTTCCAGTGAAATTTGCTGGAGAAGAGATTCCTTATTCTTATTATTTATATTTGTTGTTGATACATTTCAATGATCGAAACTTCTCGTTTTCCCTGATATGACGTAAAATATACTATTCATAATGTATAGTGACATAGGTGGATTTCCGTGGTGAAGGAGAATACGTGGTTGGATGTATTTTTGTAAGCCGTGAAGCACCAAAAGTGCTTCACCAAGACCGACATATACACAATCATACTATTTTCCCTCGATATTATACAACTCAATGAAATAATTCAAAGATTTTATGTCAAAGAGAGCCTGCTTTTGGAAAATTTCCTTAAATGCGATTCGTAGGAGCTACATATTATATAATCTGTACTACAATAAAATGTTGCAAAATGAAGTGGCCACACAGATTCAGGAAGCCGCCATACGAATGCCGACTGCTTGAATTACAAATGATTACGCTGGAAGAGCGGAGAAAGATAGCACAAATATTACTTGTCCACAATGTGATATGTGGAAATACTTCATCGAAATACATATTGAGCAAAATAAGTTTTAAAACACCGCGACATTGGACAAGAAACTCAGATTTCCTTTCATTACCGACGCATCACAATTGCTATTCCAAGTTTGAACCTATCAATTATATGTTGAGTATATACAATGAATTTTATAAATACTTTGTTCCTATCAAACCGCCTAATTTACCAGATGAATGTAATATTACTACTATTCCGAATTGTGATACTTATTTAATTGATTTTAACACAAGTACAAATACTGTAAAACGGAGAGTAGCTGACTATTTTAAGAGAAACAGAATTTGGAGAGAGTAAAGTCAAATAGAATTAATTATCCCATTGCAAATATTGTAATTATAACAAGATTTATTTATGCTAAATAAACCACCCCCGGCGAAGGAACGCTGTATGGTGCAGAATAATAATAATAAAAAATAATAAAATACATTTTTTTTGTCTTTTTTAGATTTCTACTACAATGTCTCGAGGTAAGTAAATTGATACTGGTATGAATAGGCCGTTCTTCTCCATGTTCACCATCGACTTGGTATTCAGTGTGGTTCCATGATCATCTTATGTGACTAATATTGATTTCATTCAAGAGTTTTTAGCTTTTACTGGCACGATTGGTGCCATTTATACCCCCAATGAATCGATCTATTTTATTGAAAATTCGAGTTCAAAGATCTAGTATCTCCGAAGATTCATAATTTTTTTTGTTCTTTTGCTTATATTCAAATGAATCATTGCGACAAAAAAATTCCCTCAGAATATTTTAGTTTTAAAGTGCAACATAAAGTTTTTTTTCATATGAAGTTGTTGTTATAAACTCTATATGAAAAAAATTTCATATTGCACTTTGAAACTAGAATATTCTGAGGTAATTTGTTTGTCGCAACGGTTCGAATATTGATCTAATCAATTGAAAAAAATGATCTTATCAATGAGTGAAAAAAAAAATTGAAAAAACGAAAACTTATTTGAAGAAAATTTTACAGGACCTAGATCAGAGCCTCAAAAAAATCAACTCCAGACTGTTTGTTGTACGTGGTCAAGCAACAAATGTTCTTCCTCAGTTGTTTCAAGAATGGGGTTAGTTCGATGGAAATTCTGACTTTTTTCTTGTATTTCACAAGTCTTTTTCATCAATTAATGCCTAGGCACCACATGTTTAACATTTGAAGAAGATCCAGAGCCGTTTGGGAAGGAACGTGATCAAAAAATTATCAAAATATGTAGAGATTTGAATATTGAAGTCATACAAGTTGTTTCACATACGTTGTATAAACTTGAAAAGTAAGTTCCAATTTTTATGGATATTATTACACTTTTACAACTTGTTGTGACATAAGGGAAGATGTTATGTGCTTTTCTGTAACTAACGGATTGTGATTTTTCTGTTCAAAGTGGATCGTTTTATTATTTATGTTCACGAAATGAGCTACCACCATTTGGCTGTGAATTTCAATTCAATTTCCCATATTTTTAGGATCATTGAGGTAAATGGGAACCGCACGCCGCTTACGTATAACCAGTTTCAATGCATTATCGAATCCATGGATCCTCCACCAGTTGCAGAAATGGAAATTACACAAGAACTACTTCAAATGGCAACAACACCTTTAACAGATGACCACGAGGACCGATTCGGTGTTCCTACTTTAGATGAACTGGGTAGATAGATATTTTAAAGTTAAATTGTTCTTACCATAATCTAATTTTGAAATACCTGTTTAGGCTTCGATACTGAGAATTTGAAACCCCCTGTTTGGATTGGAGGTGAGATACGAGATAGTATTTGATTTTTAATGCTTTGCGCTCAAAAATCGTCGTCGTTTGGATATTTTTGAGTGCATCACACAACGGTGTTTTGAATTGCCATTGAATGTGGTGTTGTTAAACATTTTATCAAACGTTTGACTAAACATTAATATCACGTAGTGATTTTTGATAAGATACCAGAGATGACTTTAGCGCACCCGAGTATTTTTGATGTTTTTTCGTTCTAATTTAGCTTTATGGCCAATTTTTTTTAAACTTTTGGAGATTTTTTCTCTATATTTTACTATAATAAATGTGGTTTTTCAAAAACTGTTCCTTGTTATAAAGTCATCTCTGTAAGATACTGAATGAAATTTTACCATTTTTCGTTTGGTCGAAGGTGAGACTGAAGCTTTGGTACGTTTAGAGCGACATTTGGAGCGTAAAGCTTGGGTGGCATCGTTTGGACGACCAAAAATGACGCCACAGTCACTGTTGGCTAGCCAGACAGGACTATCTCCCTATCTACGTTTCGGGTGTCTGAGTGTCCGTGTGTTTTATCATCAATTGAGCGGCAAGTTATGTTAATTCATTCCATTATGTTTGTATTTGTATTTACCGACACCGCCAAGTACTGGCAAAATATTTTGGTTTTGCAGAAAAAATGAATCTGATTAGATTTCTATTATAAGCAAATAATATATTATTATTATGACCTCAAATAATAATCACCAATTCAATGGATGGCTATATCCCAGTCATTGTTTCCAAATTCACAATATAAATATGCAAAATCACAGGCACTTGAGCTCTAATTTGCTTGTCCATGAGCTTGTCTTTGATCTTGAGGTAGTCTGTGTGCCGTAGTGTACGTACGCTATCTCCAATTGCGATGTCGTTGCGTACATTGGGACAATTTGCGTTCCCATTCACAATATCATACATGAATACGAATGAAGCATTCATTCTCCTACGCTCTAACGGTGTCATGCTCAAAGCTCAAATGACAGAGGTATGGATTTGGGTTTGGCCGGAAAAGAGTGCAAGACTGTTACATAAATTTAGAACAATGAACAATCATTAGCAACTATCAGTTCTAGCCTCGTTAAAAACCTGGCTCTTTTCGTAAATAATATCTTTCGATCTCGACAGGGACAATTTGTCAATACTTTATATTAAAAACTTAGACATTTTCATGTTTAGTCATTCGCTTATTCATAAATTAGTATTTTTCTTTTGGCTAGTCGGGAACTAATATTTGCGACAAACAAATTCCCTCAGAATATTTTAGTTTCAAAGTGCAACATGACATTTTTTTATATAGAGTTTTCAACATATGAAAAAAATCGCATGCTTCAAAACTGAAATATTCTGAGGGAATTTGTTAGTCGCAACGGTTCATTTGAATGGGCATGCGGAATGATGAAACGTAATTTTTTTGTAAAATGAAGTGCCGCTGAAAAAAAATTCAGTAAAAGTGCCCCACAAAAATATAAACAACACGTGAATTCGTTTTCATGCAAAAAAATTCATGTAACACTTTTACTGGAATTTTTTTTACGGGGCGGTTCAAATTGAACATTTTTCGTGGGGCACTCTTTCATACAATATTTTTCGGTGACGTCACTCGCATTAATCACAGACTAGCCGAATCGGAATTTTTTTGCAGATAATGATTCTGTTAATCATTTAGTTGGCTATTAAAATAAACTTGTCACAATTTAGTTTGGAGCATTGAATCTTCAATCATGTTCACCCGAAGGCACCTTATCAGGTTTAATGATCACTTAGTAGTTATGAGAAGGCATTAAATCTAAAGATGTCTTGAACAATTTAACCAACTCATTATGTTCGTCAAACATCTTTTGTAGCCCTGATATTTTCTCTTTTAATACCGCTCATTGCAGCACAACGATGATCTATTTCTAATTCTTTATCACCGATGAAATAAATTTGTAAAAATTTTGAACTTTCATTAGGTGGTTTCAGAAGGGAATTTTTTGATAAACCTGCCCTTGAACTATGAAATTTGGCATGAAACCTGCATACTTTATCACATTTGTAGCAACAAAAGATGTCATTTGAAAGATCACGTTTTATTTTTCCTCATGACGTCTTCTCATTTGAGTTTTTATTGTTGTTTTTTCAATTAATGACTTTTTGTGTGCCATTTCGATTTTTGTTCATCGGATAATTAATACCAATGGTTACCGTGGAAATTTCAAGTGAGAATTTTGCTTCGTGCGGCTGAAATTTGTGATGTTGTGACAGGCACAGACAAAGAGCCGAAATCGACCGATGCGGGTTATGATGCCACGAAACACACGGCATGGACGAAACGTGATGTGAAATCGCAGAAAATCATTGCAACGAGTGTGGTTGACGAAGCATTGCTGCATATCATCAGTTGTGAGACATCGAAGCAGATGTGGGACAAATTGCACAGTGTTAATGAGCAAAAGTCGGAATCATGTGTCCATTTGTTTGGCTGCGTTTTTCTCAAAATTGGATGAAATTGTGCAACAGCTCCGTGATTTGGGTGAGACATTTTCCGAACGCCAATTGATATCGAAAGTGTTGAGAATTTTGCATGCGGAAATGAGTCATTTCAGTTTAGCCTGGGATTCGACAGCCGAAGGAGAGCGTACATTTTTGAAATTGCGAAAACGGCTTATGGTCGAAGAAATACGAATGTCAAAGGCTAGTGATGGATTCGATGTGCAACAGTCAGCGATGCCGGCACGAATGGCAAATCGATCGATGAAACCGAGGGAGAGAAGAGTTTTGAAGTGCTTCGAGTGTGGTACTGAGGGACATTTTCGAAGAGATTGCCCGAATTTGAATAAGAAAAAAGGAAATCATGATGCGATGATGGTCCCGCGGGCGTATAATTACACTAACAACAACATCATTTGCAAAATGAAATTCGTCCAAAACCTGCTGACACGGAGTGAACGCGCTCACTTAACAAAAGCACTTGTTCATCTTGCCGGTTTGACAGCTAATGTCAAATCGACTTCTGTTTCAGTGTAGTTTTCTGTTCGAACGTAAGCGTTTTCTCAGTATGGTCCGCAAAATTAAAAAAACAATTCTGCCACGAACCAGTTTCTATTTTGAATCTAACATTTTGTGTTTTTTTTAATTATGTTAACTCCAATATATCATAAAAAACCGTAATTTTCTCTCATACAACTCAATTGATAATGAAAGAAAAACAATTTTTTTGAATACGTTAAGCCCGTATTACTACCGAAAGAAAGCAACTTTTTTGTCTTGTGTGCCAGCGGCATATTTGCACAATTTTATTTGGCAGAATCGAAACATTTTTATTTATTTAAAATTCAAACATTATTATTATTTCACCACACAACACAATGACGACTATGTTTGACACTGCATTGAATACACTCATCAATGTAGTTCCCGTCAAAATGTGTGGCGTTGTTGGTTTGACGTTTAATGATCGAGACTATCACGGTGGCATCCTGAGCATGATTGCAAATGGAAGAAACGATTGGTTTCTGGATTCGTGTGCCACGTATCACATGTGTAGCAACAGAAGCTGGTTCATGAGCTATCGCCTGCTTGAAGTGAAACAGGAGGTGACGGCTGGCAACGGCGAACCGATGAACGCAATTGGAGCCGGAGATATTTTTGTGTCGATGTATGATGGATCGAAGTGGAACGACGGTATTGTTCGCAACGTGTATCATGTGCCAGGCATCGTAGCGAATTTGATCTCAGCCGGTCAATTGAGTGAAAACGGATTTGAATTGCCGTTGAATCGAAGTGGTTGCGCAGCGCGATACGCAAAAATGGATTGACGGCCACAGTGGGAACTCGACACAAGAATTTGTTCAAATTGACGATGAAAGTGAAGTCACAAGTGAAAAATGTTCGACCGATTGAGAGCAAGAGAGAGAAAAGTGTCACGAGCAACCGATGTGTTTTGCCGAGAGTGACAGTGCGTCTCAATGTCGATGAGAATGAGAGTGACGTGAACGAAAGCGAAGAAGAAGATGTGTGCGGCAGTAGCGATGAGCGTGGCGGAAACGATGAAGCGTTTGAAGAGGCCAGCGGTACGAATGAAGCGGACGATTCGACCATCCAACACGATCGGATGAAGAACTTGACTCGGATGAAGAAGATGCCGAGAAAGCGGACAGAAATGATCGGCGGACGGACTTGTCGAAAATTTGGAAGAAATTCTCCGAGCTGATGTGATGGTATGAAAAATTTAAAGAAGTCAAATTTTTATTTTGTATTTGAAGAAACGAAAAGCAAAGACGTTACAAAGCGGCTCGGTACTGAAAGCGAAAACAAAATGTGAACTGAACTTGGAAATGTATACGAGAAACAGAGAGAGAATCGCATGGCGACGAATTGAATCAACATTTGGATTTTTGTTTCAATTATTTAAATTTTTTTTCGAGTTATTCATTTAAAGTTAGATTTTTGATTCATTTAAAGTTTGAATTTAGAGAGAGTTGAATTTTCATTGTATTTTGAATTGTTTGGAAATTAACTGTTAGATTTGAACGAGAAAACGAATTGTTGGTTTGTTAGATTTAAATTAGATTGAGAGAGAGTATTAGAAATAGCAATCGAAATGTAAATGTGAACGCATCCTAAAATGTAACATGAAGTTTGACATTTGACAGATGACTTGACTTTGACGTTTGATTTATCAATAAACGTTCTTCTTGTTATTACACTCAAACCGACTGGACGTGTTTCAATATTCAAGCCAATATTTTATCAAAAAACCATTATTCATTATATATCTGTATCTTTTGCTCATTTTCATTCAAGTTCAAGCCCAGACACATCGATTTATCCCGAAAATTCACGCACTCTTCTGTCAGTATGCATAGGAGAATTGTCATGGATGAAACAATGTTCTTAATACTGCCGAATTAAGCTTTAATAGAAGGCAATGCCATTTCATCGAGAATTTCTAAATGCGCTTCGTCCCGTCCATAATAATTCCACCGAGTGCACAAATTTGTTCTACTCATTGAACATGTCAGTAGATACTTAACCTCACTTTGTCAATCAAAAACAAGAAAAATGTTAGCAAAGAATTTTTGAGCAAAAAAAAGAAAGTTCATATTCTTTTTCGGTATTTTTTCAAACGTTTCTAAAATATGAATAATGTTTTTAAAAATGGGTTTTCATATTAATACACTAGGTATATTTTTATAAATAATTGAAATATTTTTTAACCAGAATGCTTGAAATATGTACTCATGTACTTATGCATACTTTTGGCGCGTTCCGCAACGAATGACAACCGACTACGCGGTCCCCGTTGTAGTTTGACAGTTCGGGTTCACCGCTCTGCACTAAACACGGGCGAAATACGAAGAGTGAGAAAATCTTTTTCGCACAACAGCAAATATTCATAACACGCTCGCACCGACTCAGTGGAGACAACCAATACCAACGCAAATCAAAACAATTGATTCGTATTGGTTCGAATAAATCGTCTCTCCAATGTGTTACAATTTCGCAATGTTTTTTTTGTCATTTTTTGACTTTTTGTGGACTCTTTTTCGACGGCGGTAATTTCTG